ACAGCGCTTCAGGCGCTCCAACCGTTTGCGCTCGCGCGATCTCTACACGAGCGGACCATTAGCTTTGGCCACTCGCTTGTTTGGCCGCTACTAAGCGGTCAAAGCTTTCAGATTTATGAATTTAAACAAAGTTCATGAATTTGAAAAAAATAGGTTATTGGGTTATAAAAAAATTGCAAATTCGAAGAAAGTTTTTGCATTTGAAAAAGAAAATCTAAGCTTGAAAATTGTTTGTGAATTTGGACCAAGTTCATGACTTTGAAAAAAAATTACGAGCTCGAAAAAATCATAAATTTGAAAAAAAAAACAGAATTTGAAAATCATCACTTTGAAAAAAAGATCTGGATTTTAAAAACAGTTTTCGAACTTTAAAAAAAGTTCATGAATTTGAAAAAAGATTTTGAAATTGAAAAAAGAATACGAATTTAAAAGAAAAAAGAAAGGGGGGGAATAACTAAAAAGGAAAAAAACAAAGAAAAACCCATCCTGCGAATAACCTTCTGTTGATGGTTCTCAAGACTGATGGCAAAACAAAAGAAGGATGTGAACGTATGGTGCGAATGAGAAAATAAGAAGAAACTTAAATGGGGCGAGTCCAAGGTCAAGCAGGGTGCGCGCTAGTTGCAAAAACAATAGGAACTAGCGCATAAGCGCTAAATAGGAGCGGCGGGGGTCGACTGCTAGCTACACTATTAGGGAAAAGCCTAGCAGTAGCGAGGGTATCCGCGCTATTGATACGGCGCTACAGCTAAAGGTTAGCAGTAACGCTTGTTGGCACGCGCTACTGTTATATCTACTTAGTAGTAGTGCGTGCTACAACAGCCACTACTAGTAATTACTAGTAGCATTTCAAACTGCCCGTGCTACTACTATTATTCTGTATTCTATTTCTTTTTAATTTTAGGTCGTATTCATATACTTTTATACAAGTTTTCATACCGTAGCAATTTTAGAGATTGTTTTTACATTCTAGTGAGTTATTAAATCACTAGGTGAAATAACCGCGGATTAGTTTCAAATGGATAGATCCTAAGTGATTATCCATGACTTGGTCACGTAGGATAAAACTAATCCGCGGTTCTTTCACCCAATAATATAATAATGTACTCATCATCATCATCATCATATTAATATAAAAGACTCTCGCATCATATCATCACCAATAACACTAGCTAATAATCATTATAGTTATTACCACCAACACTATTTAATCATCATAGTTATAGCTAATCACCATCAACACTAGCTAATAATAATCATCATAGTCATCACCACCAACACTCATTCTAGCTAGCTAATCACTCCTGCTGCTCTCTCTTAGGTAAAAAGGTATAGAACACGTGTAGCACTCCTGATTTATCATATTGAAGCATGCAGATGAATCTGTCTTCTAATTGTGGGATGCGCTTCAAATTGCTGCCCCCTAGTACTTCTCTGCGATCCTTCACAATTTTGTTTCGGTCTTTGACTATTAAGACTTGCTCGCTTTTAGAAATCCTGAATGCACTCATGTGCAATGTAGGGATGTGATGTAGGGTGGAACCCTATAGAGAAGATCTTTCATGAATTGGAGGTGGAATCCCCATGAATAAGATGAACAAAGGAGGGAAAACAAGAGGAGCACTCAAGAACAAGTCAAATCACACATCCACTAGACAATCACACACATAAGATCCACAAGGTACATGAACAACAAAGGGAAATAATATGCATATGGTAGAGTTCATCCCAAATCCTATGAAGGAGATGAGGGCTTGATGATCCTATGATTGGGATCCTTCCCACAAGGGGGTCTTGAGCTAGGTCACTCCAAGAGGAGGTCTTGATCTCCTAGTGGAGTGGATCCATGGAGCAAAGCTCTCATATGTCTAACATATCCTTTTGCTTTCCCTAAACATGGTCCTAGGTACGGAATATATAGCCTTGGGGTCGAAGGAGAAGAAGGGGGGCCGAAGATGCACTCTCAGCCGGCCATCCTGTAGGGCCCGTGCGCACGGGGTAAGTTGGGCCCGTGCGCACGGGGGTCCCGTGGGCACGGTACATGCCCGTGCGCACGGGGTGCTCCAGCGCCAACTTCCTGAGTAGCCCGTGTGCACGGGGTCTTCGAGGCCCGTGGGCACGGGGTCGCCTGGGAGGTGCAGTGTTGATCCTGTTGCACTCCTTCTTCCTCCTTGTGGCCTTGTGGTCCTTCTCCAACTCCTTTGGGGTGTCCCTCACCAGCTTGTGGTCGTCGGTCTTCGTACCTAAGGACACATAGAGCACTTTGGTGAGGTAGCAAGCAAGTCCAATGGATATTCATGATGTTCTCAAAGAAGAGCGGGTTCACCTTAGTTCCGGTAGGTCCACTTGGGGCTTGATGTGCTATGAAGGTGTACATGGAGATGAACGTGGGATGCTCCGTATCATCTCCTTCCCATTTGAAAAGATCCGACCTCGGATCATAAACCGTATCGCCATGTACACGGTAGGCATGGATGTACCATAGGTCGAAGTCGCTGCCTTGTGAATCCTTCAAAATGAAAGAACATGAGAAACACTTGGAAAAACAAATGAGGTTAGTGCAAAAGCAAGACCTATCATTCGAGGGGCGAGATACCCAACAAGTGTATGCATCATGCTCGTCATAAGAAAGGACAAGGGAGCATTTCATAATATGTAGGCATATGATGCGAGAACAAGTGTATGCATATATGTCATCAACCCAAGAAAGCAAGTGATAGTGGAACATGGGTGATGCAACATAGCAAGCAATCATAGCAATCAAGTCAAGTATGCTAGTAGTGCGAAGATGCAACATACTAGAAGGAATCATGGCAATCATGTCATTAGTGCAAATAGTGGGCATGAATAATTCACATGTCATAGCACAAGCATGAAAGCAAGATATGAGGACAATAGCATGGGGCACATGATAAACATGGCAATAGCAACAAGGATCTCCACCAAGCATGCAAGTACACATAGAGGTAGCATAATGATGGAACATGGGTAGATGCAAGCAAGGGTCACAATTGCATGGCAAAGGCATAGAAGCAAGCATAGCATGCAAAGTGAACACGGTAAAATGAGCATATGTGAGAAGTGGTAAATGGCCCATAGTCGTGTGAGAGCCAAGTAGAGGAGTTGCGCGTAGTCCTTGCGCGAAGGGGACGGTGGTGAGGATAGTCCATGAGATCCCAAATCATCGTTGCTCTCAAGAGCTCGTTTTGTCAACTCGTGGGATTGCGAGGTTGATAAGTATTCATGGGTACCTACACAAAACAAAGACAAAGGAAAAATTGTGTGTGCGTGGTAGATGTACACATCATCCATCATGATGCGCACGCGCATGTGTCGGTGAGCACAAAATAGCCAATGCTCAAATAAATGAGATGCGTGATATAGAAACATGTCATCCATCATGAGAGGTTTGTTATTATGTATGGCATAATGGAGACTCAAAGGATGTAATGCATCATGAGAAATATCGAGAGCATTGTTATTCATGTTATGCAAATGGTGCACGCAATCATGGGAATCATGCAAAGTATGAAATGTATCAAGATCTCCGAATATGTATGAGGAAACTATGGGGGTCTCTTCTTGAGCATTAATGGAAACATCACATGGAGAATATTGACAACATCCAAAACAATGCATATTTGGAGCAATGTGATCATGGCATGGCATAGTAGATGAATTGCGAAAATTATGTAAAGGAAGCATGGCAATATCATCACAAGAGAAGCAAAAGCCAATGACCATCATTTCGTCATCTATGCCATAAGTGCAAATGGGATTAATTTTAATGGGGCATGCATTTAGGACAGTATAACCGCACCTAAAGCGAGCTCTCTTAGGCCCTCAGCGTTTTCGGCCGTCGGATTTCGTGTTGGGATTTTTTCTGGCCGTCAGATCCAAGTTTCAGTTGCAGTTTTACCGCGACCTGGCCGGACTGTCCTAATGGGCCGCTACTCTCGTGACCTTTTCCAAGGCCTGTGGTTGATTGGGTTTTATTGGGCTGACATCTGCCGCTGGCTGGCTTGACTCATTGTTCCTTTTATCTCCAGTCTTTTTCTTTGGTTTGTTTTATCCTGATTCCAAGGTTTGTTAGTCATGAAGGATTTTGCAAAACTGTGCCATTACATGGACGAAAGATCTGGCATTCCTATAAAGGTTTTGAAAAACATGGATCAACCATCACATGACTGAAAGAGATGGGCACATTATCACTAAGATCCTTCCAGTTCCTAGGTACACAAACATGCAAAATCACTTTTTTAAACATGTGAAGCCCTGTTGCATATGGAACTTTTTTGTGTTTGGTCTTTCTCCGACGTGGTGTTTGTCCCATCAAATCTTATGAGAATTGCTAATAAGTACTTGAATATTTTTCACCTTGAGTTTAGGGTACTCAATTGTGCATACATATAATTTTTATATCGGTAAGAAAACACTCAGTTCTTCTTACATAATTGATTAACATTGCTTATGTTCCTGCATTAGATGTTTCTTTGTTATTTTTCTGTAAATATAATCTCAAAGTTTTGTGGTTAGGTGTGAAATGGAGATCTCCACTGCAAGACCCATGACACGTGGGAGAAAACAGATAT